CGGCGCGGACAGCTGAGCTGCTCCTCTCCCGTCGGCGCCCGGGCGGGCCTCGTCCCGGCCCCGATGGTTTGAGCTCGCCTCTCCTTCCTCCCGACCCCGCGACCATGTGAAGGCCAGAGTCCGGACATCCCGAGGAGCCACCGTGAAAGATGGGGGATGCTGCAGACCCCAGGGAGATGAGGAAGACGTTCATTGTTCCAGCCATCAAGCCCTTTGATCACTATGATTTCTCCAGGGCCAAAATCGCCTGCAATCTGGCCTGGCTGGTGGCCAAAGCCTTCGGGACAGGTAGGTGTTGTCTTCCTTTCCCTCTTCCTCTTGATGATGTCCACATCCCGGTTTTTGTTCCCGATTCTTGAATCCCCTCCATGCCTGTCTTCTCGTACACGTTCAGGGAGATGATGGGAGACCTGGGAAGAGGAGAAAGAAAGAAAGAAAAGCAGGTTTGGTCTTAAAATGCAGTCCCTTGAATGGTTAGATGGGATTTGGCTAGATTCCTTTTATTGGATACCAGAAGTATTTGGGTTGGTTTTTTTCCCCCCCAGTGAACAATTTTGTCTTGTTTTAACATGGAGTGGTTTTAATTTGTGGTGTTTTCCTCATTGTGCTGCATACATTTTTCCTTCTGTCATAGTTGTGATTACAACACCGAGAAATCTGAGTTGGTTTCTCTTATTATTGGAAGAAGGTGGATGGTACATAGTACTGTATTGATTCTGACATTTGTAATGATGGCTGGCTGCTGTTCAGTCTCCATAGGATGTAAGGTGGCCGGCGTCGAAGTGCAGTATTAATTTTTGTTGTCATTCAGCCCTCCGTGCACATTGCGTATTCTTATTAAACCAGTTATTTAAAACCAATGTTTAGTTTGCTGACTGTAGGGTGCTATTTTCATTTCATATTATCAGTGAGGCATATTTTTTGCGAATGTATTTCGGCTTCATAAATTAAGGGAAGCATAAACTCCCAACTTTGGGATTTTTTTAAATAGTGTTTTTGAGGGCATGTGCTATTGACACAGAAATTGTGTTGTACAGTAGCAATGAAACACTCCCTCCATAACCCGGTCTTTGCAAAATAACAGGAAAAGGGCCTCCTCTTGTAATTCCTTAGCTGTTGCTTTAGGAGCCCATATTGTGGAATGCTAAAAAAAATTAGAGAGCTGCTCTTCATTGGAAGATCCTCCTGAAGGTAATTTAGTCTGATAACTTTTAGGAGTAATTTTGTAAGATTTCCTTTCCCTAGTTAATGAATTTTGGATACATAATATATTTGTTGTGAAGTTCCTTAGTACTTACAAACTTTTCTTCGGATGTTAAATATAGGTTTTTGTGGAGGATAGCCGATTTCCAGTTTTAGGACTGTGAAAATATGTGGGTAAAGATTTAGTTCAGTTTTACTGCTTAAACCTATACACAGCTGAGTGTTTTCAGGACTTGCACATCTTAAATAGCAGATGAATGTCAGTGTTTGGAAAATTATTTGAATTAGTTTTTGGGGAAACTTTACATAGATGTGTTTTTTGATTATGACAGCCTTCATTTAATTTGAATTTTCATTCTTTGATATTGAACTGACATAAGGAATAAATATAATAAATCCTTTTAAAATAATCCAAATTTTAAAAATTTCTTTAAAACTAAATGTCTAGAGTAACACATAGGAGGAAGCACAAAGCGTTTCTTTTTTTTTAATTTTAATTTCTGGCACCACTGATATAAGCAGTGAAAATAATAGATATATTTTGGTTTTAACTGAAGCAGCATACTGAAGTTAATATCTATTTGGAGGGTAAATGAAAGCTATTTAAGTATTTAGAAAAAATGGAAAGAGGGAAATTTATATAGTAACCTATGTGGAAAAGTAATGTGAACAAAATGGAAGGCAGAAGGAATAAGAGAAATATTTTCTTCCCATTGGAAACTAAGAAGATACTTAACAGTACATATGTCACAATTTTGTTGTGCATCCACAAAGGCTTCTAACCAGAAATGGCCTACTTTCTGTATATGTGTCACTAGATTCTGGACCACTTGATGAACACACATTGAACATACTTGAGGAAGAAATGAAGTGAAAGGAATCTAGTATCAATGGAATCTGGCCTCTGCTGGGCGCTCTGCTAGATGTTTTGCAGTGAGTTAAACATTTGGGATTCACAACAACTCTGTGATGTGTAGGTAGTGTGTTTCCCATTTTTATAAAAAACGAGGAAGCCACTGCACAGAGTGGTTAAACAACTTTCCTACTATCACACTGTTGGTAAGTGGCAGAGATGAGTTTTTGTTTTTGTTTTTTTTTTAAAAGATGACCGGTAAGGGGATCTTAACCCTTGACTTGGTGTTGTCAGCACCACGCTCAACCAGTGAGCGAACCGGCCATCCCTATATGGAATCCGAACCCGGGGCCTTGGTGTTATCAGCACCGCACTCTCCCGAGTGAGCCACGGGCCCCCCGAGATGAGTTTTGATTTGAGGTCTAACTCCCAAGGGTAAGATATTGGTGGAGGTGGGACATACCTGTTATATACCCAACACACTAAATTACTTCATTTATTCTTACAGCAACCCTATAGATATAGTCCTTGTTTTGCAGATGAGGGAACAGGCTCAGAGAGATTAATTTGCACAAGATTAAACATCTGGCAAGTGGTATATTCTGCATGCCAGCTCAGGTCTTTGTGACTCTGAAGTCTTTGCTTTTTACTCTACACTATTCTACAGATTAATCCTTTTATTTGCACGTGTGTGAAGTGTGCACATAGTACACATTAAAGTCTAATTTTTTTTTCTTTAACATTGCGCATATCTTAACTCACTTTCAGATGCTTTAAAAGAATGTTGTTGGTAGTTACATTTGCCTTGGCAGCAGTTGAAATGGATAAAAAGACCATATTCAAAATGAGATGAAAAACAAGTTTAGAGGATCTTAACAGGGTGACTTACTAACCAGAAATTAATACATTTTTAAGAATGTTATGTTTGTACATTTTCTTTACTCTTTATCAACAGCCTCTCAAAGTGTAAATTTATATGGCGTGAATAGGAAAAAAAGAGCAAGGTTTTTATTTTTTTGATGTAAATATTCTTTGCTGTAGACATTGTTATGCAGAAAAGGTCAACAGATAACATATTTCCAAGGTATTACCTGATTGTTGATTTTGTTTTGTTTTTTTGGTGGCTGGCAGGTATGGGGATCCGAATGCTTTGACCTTGGTGTTATAACAGTGCTCTAACCAGCTGAGCCAACTGGCTAGTCTACGTGATTGTATTCAGTTATTCAAAAACTTAGCCCAACTTTCAAGTATGATTTGTTAAAATCATTCTTTTAACAGTGACATGTAGGGTCTTCAGGCATTGATTGAGTGTTTTCTGTCAGAAACTTTCTATTAACATATTAAAAAGTAGTCAGTTTTAGAACTGTGTTAGAAAATTTATTTCAAATGATGGCTAGAAATTAATTATGAGCATAGAATGAAGTACTGTAATTGAACTGTAAAAAATAAATAAAGCACTAGCATTGTAATACCTAGAAAATAAATATGGAGTATTTACTTAATTTGAAGTCTTATGTCAGGACCTGTGAATCATGTTCTTTAACACTAAAGATATTCCACATAGCCCAAATCTTAATAGGTTATTTTGTGGAAAACTGAAGATACAGTTAGATAAAATAAGAATATGCTCGTGTAGATTAATTTGAAACAATACACAGATACTCTGATTACTTTAAGAGTATCTTAAAAAGAGGAAGAAGTTCAACTATTTATATGGCTTCTACTACTATATTTGAAGAGATTAACCCATTTAAGCACGTATATTACTGAATGTGCATTAAATGTTCCGCTCCCTTAAATCCTTTGGGGAAATAGGTGCAAAACCTCTTGTGACACTCTTCCTTACAAATTCTTGAATTCAGAGTTCTTAACAAGGAATTCAAGGGATACTTCCTAGTGTCAGTTTATGATTTCAACTTCATCAACTATTTCCCCCCTTTTTATACCATTTAGTTTAGTGCTATGAAATCACTGGCTATTATAAATACATCTTGTTACACATCTTTGTATATCCCAACAGATCTTGTCAAAATGCTACGTAAAATCTGACTCTTTATGCATATATGAAGATTGTGAGAGCAGTGGGTAGCATTTTGGTTAAGAGAGACTTGTAGCACAGAGGCCAATTTGGAACATTATTGCAGTAGACTGGGCAAAAGATGATGAGGGTTTGAAGTAGGGTGGAAATGATAGTAAAGTTGCTAATATTTTTTGAGCACTTACTGTGTGTCGAGTACTTTACACATATCTTATTTTAATCCTCGTGACAACCTTAGGAGGTGGAAACCATTAATCATTCCAGTTTTACTGATGAGGATAGTGAGGCCCAGGGTTTTAGGAACTCATCCAGAGCCACCCAGTTAATAGAGCTGGAATCTGAATTCCGGGAATCTGACTTCAGTCTATGCTTTTAACCGTTATACTATATGGATAGAAGTCAGAGGAATGGAAAAGAGGCAAATGAAAGAAAAAATGTTACAGAGATTTAATCCCTACTATTCTAAGTGACAGAATTTGAGGTGCACTGGGAGTGATTTAAATGAAAAGGGAACATATTAGAGGAGGAGGTTACCTGAGGTTTTAGGGTGGATGAGGTTATCTGAGATTTTGAGGTCTAGTGACCGAGAGGATGAATTGAGACGCCATTGACAGAGATAGAGAAAGCAACAAGTTGTAATGGGAAAGCAGCTGTTTTTGGAAACCTTGAACTTGATGTGTTTGTCAAATATCTTGTCTGAGAAATCCAATGAAGTAAGTAGTTATAAATGTAGGTCTGTAGTGTGATTGACAAGTTGAGGCTAGAAATAACAATTTGGTAATCTGTGTACAGCAATATGATTGAAATTGGAAGTAGATGAGATTGTAGAGGGAAAGAAGACAATTGACAATGAATACTTAAAATATGGGGGGGGCGGGGGGAGGCTGAGGAAAAGCAGGCAAGATTAGAGCAATCAGAGAGTTAGGAAAAGAATTAAGAAAGTGTAATAACACCGAAGCCCTGGGAAGAGAAAGTTTCAAAGGGAGTGGTCTGATTAACAGTGTCAAATGCTACAGGTTTAAGCCGGGGAGGCTGAGGAAAAGCAGGCAAGATTAGAGCAATCAGAGAGTTAGGAAAAGAATTAAGAAAGTGTAATAACACCGAAGCCCAGGGAAGAGAAAGTTTCAAAGGGAGTGGTCTGATTAACAGTGTCAAATGCTACAGGTTTAAGCTATGTCTGTCTTTTAAGGGTTT